CATCTCTCTGAAAACATAATTTGGTCACATAAGTGAAATTACACATATCTAATTATATATGATATTTTGGATTATTTGATTTTAAATTAATTGTCTTGTGTAATGTCATTTATTATGTGTGCAAATTGCCTTTTATAGTAAAAGGTGAGTTGTTTGATGAATTCTCTTAACTAATACATTTGATGTATTTATTCTTGTGATAATTTATTAAGGGTTTATACTTAATCAATCTCAAGTTTAATCATACTAAGTGATTAAAATATAGTTCTCAAGTATAGAGTTGAGCTTTTTAAGGAGTTCAAAATATAAAAGGAAGTTAGAGTTTTTTTTTATGAATGTTTAATAATATTATGATATGATCATGATATTCATTACCTTAATCAAACAAAATGTTATCTAAGTAAGTTATACGAGCTATAGAAATATAGTATCATATAAAGTAAGATCAAATATATAAGATATGTTTGATAAATAGTCTTAAGTTATGCTATTTGTTATGTCCCGTAAATGAATGTTCTAATACAATAGTTGATTATAAACCATATACGATATGGGTCCGATAGGTCAATCAGATTTACATGAAAAGTTTGGGTTACCACTTTATATGTTAACAATTTATTATTCCGTAACTAGTTTGTAGAGTATCCAAAAGGAGTTTGGTTACTTATTTTAATTTATTATTCTTGGGAGTCATTATTTTCTCGTAGCACATTAACTTTTAGAAATAAAGTGTTTATTCAAAAAATTTAGTGGGGGTAATAAAAGAATGTGAAGTTGTTCACAGCCACAAAATAGTAAGTTCAACTTGTAGAACATTAGTTTTAACCACATAATGATGTGTGTTAGCAATAATTGCATACTATGATAAAAGAATATCCAAGTTGCATTCTGCAAAAAGAGTTAATTATATGAGATATAATTTTAAACTCTATATCCAATAATCATAAGAGAGCATACAAGAAACATAAATATAATTTAGATTCATACATTTTGATTCAAAAATCAAATTGTTTGATTTTGTCAAAATTATTGTATGTCTCGTGTATTTATTTTCTTGAGCGCGAAAGTTGAGTTGATTCTATGTTACTTTATGTGTGACATAATGTATAGAAAGAAAATAAATATCTTGATTTCTTAGTATTATTATCGTTGAGTTATTTATTATTCTTAAGAGTTAAGAATAGCAATTTGGACTTTGGAAGTCCTGATCTATGCAAGTAGATTATAAATATTGTTTGGTCTATGTCATACTAAAGTTGTTTAATATGTACTTATTGTACAACTATTTCCATATAGTTTTACTATTGGATCTAGATTGTCAGCATACACAAGTGCTAGACTTTAGCTATTGTGCTCGAAGTGTTATGAGCATATTGAATAACTCATAGTGAAAGTCACTAAATGATAATCGAGAATTTCAATATTGTAATTGGTCTGATCGTAGATTTATAGATGTGTTAATCCATCTTTTGAAGATGATAACACTTTGCATATACTCTTAATGATAGTATTACATGTTGGAAGTGTTCCAAGTATAACACTTATTGTAGTTACAACTTGTGCCATTATATCAGAGTTTCTAAAAGAGTTTAGAACACTTTTGGATCAAGAAGTTCTCTATTGAATTTCAGTTTTTTCCTTCATTTGGAAAATCTTGTCTCATCAATGATCCAATGATGTATGTGGTTTTGTCATTTGATACTTGATCAATGATTCAAGATAGAAATCATAGTTGAGTATATTTTCTTTCATGATAAATGTGTTTATCAGTGAATTGGTTTTAGTCCAAGTGGGAGACTTTTATTCAATGTATGGACAAAGATCAATTTATTTTGATATTTCTTTATATTCATGCAATATGGACATATGGAATTCTTCATTATTCATTTTACTTGTTTAATTACATAAATGAATGGTAAAATCTCCAGAATAATATTTGTATGGAAGAAATCATAAGAGTTATTATAATGAGATTCTTTATATACTTAGATGTTATTCTTAAATCATCCCTAGTCATAGTATTAACAAGATGAGATATTGTTGATACACATAGACTAGCACGTGTTATGCTTACTGTTAAAGTAAGAGTTCGTTGATCTCGTTGACTATTGTGTGGCGACACAAAAGCAAATATGTGAATGCTTGTTGGAGAACAAGTACATTAGATTGACCTACTTAGAGATTTCCATAAGGTAATGTATTTGAGTGCTAATGAAAATAATCACTACATGGCGGTAGTGTAAGTGATCCTTCGACTTGAGATTATAAGAGTCTCTAGAGTGTGGATTACTGTATTCTAGCTCCTTTGGTCCTTAACTTTAGTTGGTTATGTGTACTTTTAGAGTTGAGTATGATATGAAACATGAAAGGAAGTTTATGATCAATAAAGGAGGATTCACCATTTCTAATAAAGAAGAGTATACCCTTTAATGACCACTTGTTAGAAATATGACTTGAAAGTGTTTGCGCAAAATAAAAGTGATTTTAGAAATTGTTTTAATTTCAACTTCAAATGACTTATATTTCTGGAACAAGAAAGAATTGATTAGTTCATACAGAGTTAGCACTTACCCTTACTCTTGAACTAATTTGAATATAAGATGGTGAAAGGATAATAATTTCACAGAATCTGTGTATGGAAAGGTGAAAGGACAAAGTTGTTCCAAAAAGAATCATAACTATCATGTTAACCAAAAACAAATTTGTACCTTTTAACCCATTATTCCTATACTTTTTCGACAATCTTTATTTCATGCAAAATCATACCGAACAAATTTTACAGCTTGCAAGCCACCCACTAGTTGTAAATAAGCGGATTATATTAAGAAGACTACGATTTCAGTCCACGCCCTAATGAACAAGTTGATCAAGTTTTAAGGCCCATTTGTATTAAAGAACCAGCCAACAGCTCTTCTTCTTTTCGTTTTCGGGTTAAATGCAAGTGTATATCTTGAAATGAGAAGGTCAACACCCAATAACGCCAACGTGATTTTTTTTTTCAATAAAAAAATAAACTTATATTAACTTCAATAACTCCAACTTGATTGATTGATTATGCGTTGGTCTAAAATCTAAAAGTCAAACATGATCCGGAAATGCGCGCGTATCTTACTGCCCATTTCTTCTTCTAGCTTCTTCTAAACTTAGTACACCAAAATTAATTTTTCTTTAATTTGACGAAGTCAGAAGTCTGCAGCATTGGCATCCTGTGATTCACATGCATTGCGTCTGATCATTGGTTATTTTTTAATTGAGTAAAATGTTGAAATGGTCCTTTACATTTACCCTTACTTGAATTTACGTCCTTTACATTAACATTTCAATATCGTAGTCCCAAACATTATGTGTTCACACTTTTTTCGTCCCATTTTACTGTTTCGACCACATTTCCGTCCAACTCGATGTTGACTGGCCGTTGACTTGCCGGGATCAGGGGTATTTTCGTCCTTTCATGTAATTTGATCTTCCATCAAATTAAAATCATTCAAAAAGTGATATTTTAAATTATTTAAATAGTATTTATTAATTTAAAATATTATAATATTTTAAAATTTATATTTTTTTAAAAGAAGTTTTTTTATTTACCATTTATCTTAGGTGAAAAGTAAACAATAATTATTCTATATTTTAGTCCCAGGCCCACAGTAAATTTATAATTTTACGGAGCTACAGTGAAAAATTTAAATTTCAAATTTAAAAAAAATTAAAAAAAATTTAAATTATGAAAAGTAAACAGTAATTATTCTACATTTAACCCCAGGCCCACAATAAATTTATAATTTTACGAGGCTACAGTGAAAAATTTAAATTTCAAATCTAAAAAAAATAAAAAAAAATTGTAGCCTGGTAAAAAAATAAATTGACAATGTTACCGGGCTGCAGTAAAATTTTTTTAATTTTTTTTTAAATTTTAAATTTAAATTTTTTACTGTAGCCCGGTAAAATTGTAAATTTATTGTTTTAATTTAAATTTTTTTATTTTTTTTTAAATTTGAAATTTAAAAATTTTCAAATTAACTACATTGCTCATTCCGCTACAGTGAAAAATTTACAATTTACAATTTAAAATAAAAATTTAAATTAAAACAGTAAATTTAAATAAAATAGTAAATTTATAATTTTACCGGCTACAGTGAAAAATTTAAATTTCAAATTAAAAAAAATAAAAAAATTTACTGTAGCCCGGTATAATTATAAATTTACTTTTTTACCGGGCTACGTTTTTTTTATTTTTTTTTAAATTTGAAATTTAAATTTTTCATTGTAGCTCGGTAAAATTGTAAATTTACTGTGAGCCCGGGGTTAAAATGTGGAATAATTACTATTTACTTTTTATAATTTAAATTTTTTTTATTTTTTTTTAAATTTGAAATTTAAATTTTTCACTGTAGCTCGGTAAAATTATAAATTTACTGTGGGCCTGGGACTAAAATATAGAATAATTATTGTTTACTTTTCACCTAAGATAAATGGTAAATAAAAAAACTATTTTTTAAAAAATATAAATTTTAAAATATTATAATAATATTTTTAAATTAATAAATACTATTTAAATAATATTAAATATGAATTTTTAAATATTTTTAATGATTTTAATTTGATAGAATGTCAAATTATCTTAAAGGACGAAAATACCCCTGACCCCGGCAAGTCAACGGCCGGTCAACATCGAGTTGGACGGAAATGTGGTCGAAAGAGTAAAATGGGACCAAAAAAGTGTGAACACATAATGTTTGGGACTACGATATTGAAATGTTAATGTAAGAGACGTAAATTCAAGTAAGGACAAATGTAAGGGACCATTTCAACATTTTACTCTTTTTAATTTGTGTCATTTTCTTATTAACATCATTCCAATCCCTCCATCACTTGCTTTCTGCTGCTTATATAAAATTCTGTGACTAATTTTGCAAATCTTCCATCATCCCAACCTCCACCCAATCTCATCGTTGACCTGTTTCTCTTCAATCTTCTCTTTTTTTTGCCAATTCTGATACTCCATGAACATGGATTCCTCTGCCTTTAGTGCTTCTATTGGTTCTGCCTTACATGATCTTGACTTGGTGCTGAACCAATTGTCTCCTTCTCTTGGCAGAATTAGAAGGCGTAAGGAGTTCATATTTTACTTGCATAGTCTGAAAATATTTGTTCTGATTTCCTCTAGAAATTTGGACAACCAGCTCCTTGAGGCGAAGCTGCCATCGTTCTTGCTAAGGGTTGAAGACACTGTTCACAAGCTTGCACAGCAATTTCATCACCCTGATGCTGAACAACTTACCAAATTAGATAAATCTGTGGCTGATGAGCTCCTCGATGAAATGGAATCCTTACATGAAGAAATAGATGAATGGTACTTCACTATGAGGGATTCGTTGCTGTCAGAATTAAGTGATTCCCTTTTCACCATTGATGACATCTACCAAATCATCACTTCCATTTTGGAGCTTCTTGAGGAAAATTATCACAGAAAAGGGACGGAAGCTTTGTTTGAGGAAGTGAAAGTCTTGCAAAGTCTCATCAGCTTTGTTTTCAAACCCACGCCACAACTGTTGGCTCACGCAAAAAATGTTGCTATCCATACACATCTTCATTTTAGGTGTCCTCGAGCACTTGGCAAATCTTATGAAGACTTTGGTGAAGAATCCGATAAAGACTCTGATCAAGAATCTGAACAAGACTCTCATGAAGACTCTGATGGAGAATCTGATGAAGAATCTGAAGAAGACTCTGATGGAGACTCTAATGCAGAATCTGATGAAGAATCTGAAGAAGACTCTGATGAAGATTCTGATGTCGCAGAACCTCTTGATGACAAATGGGTTCAAGATTCAATCTTTACATGGGTGCAAACTATCAAGTCAAATGATCCACTGGTATGCGAGACTTACATTCAAGCTCTCAACAGTTCAAAGTGGGCAAGAAAGTCTGTTGAAACCACTCATCACCAACACATTGATGATGGCGCCTTCATTGCAACCAAGAATTTCCTTGATTCTCTCATTCATAATCTTTGGGAATTGCTTAGACTTAATTCTGTTTGCTTGCTTCCAGTCAAGGATCAAATGATGGAGCTTTATCGCAAATTTAGATCCTTGCGAACCATTCTCAAGCAGCAGCAGCCCACAAACAACATTAAGGCAGACATTGTATCTTTGTTGTACGATGCCGGTGTCTTAATTTTCTCATTGTACCAAACAGATAAAGAAGTTGATCTTGGATGTTTTCATGATTTGTTGAAAACAACCAAGACTATTCTTCTACAACTTGGAGTGGAGGATCCGCCAGTACCGGAATTCAACTTCCCTAAAACTAATCAGTTGGGTTTTGTTGATTTCGTGTTGGAAAAATTGGTGGACCTGGGAAGTTGTGAAGCCGAACCAACCGCCAACAGTATGCATATTCAAACTATCCATGAAGAACTTTTGTCCTTAAGATCCTTCTTAGGAGACATTGTGCAGTTTCGCGAAAAGCACGAGGAGCTTCAAGCTCTTTGGAATCGTGTTTTAGAGGTGACGTGCAAGGTGGAGTGTCTCATCGATCACTTACTGGCTGGTGATCTTCCGGTTTCTTCTCCAAATTCAGTTGGTGCTATCTTGAAAGACGTTAAGGATGTTAAGCTCAAAATCGAAGTCAAGAGACCAGAAATTGAAGACAAAAGACAACAAAACAGACTGAAAGAAGGAACCAGGACTCACACTCTCCTCCCATCACAAACTACTTCCTCGGGAAGAAACAATGAGGTTGTAGGTTTTGCTGATGATGCAAAACAAATCATGGGTCGACTCAAAAGAGGACCAAAGCAGCTGAAAGTCATTACCATTGTGGGTATGCCGGGTCTAGGTAAGACCACTTTAGCCTCAAAAGTTTACAATGATGTGTCTATTTCACTTTATTTTCAAGTCCGGGCATGGTGTTCAATCTCACAAGCATTGGACAAAAAGAATGTGTTGGTTCAACTTCTGAAACAGGTCGATCCCAACTACAAAAGTGATTCGGAGCTCAACGAACAAGATTTGGTAGAAAGGCTCTGGCGCAGCTTGAAAGGGAAAAGATATCTCCTATATTTGGATGATATATGGGGCAAGGAAGCATGGAATAGCTTGGCGGAAGCATTTCCCGATGACAAATGTGGAAGTAGAATTCTTTTGACAAGTCGTCATCAGGGCGTTGCTCCTAGTCACATGCTTGACCAAGAACCTCATTTTCTTCAGCCGCTCAATGAAGGAGAGAGTTGGGAATTATTCCGGCGGAAGTTATTCCCAGGTTTGTATCTTGCACTGCCTGATCTGGTGATGAAATTTGTGGCATACTGTAAGGGTTTGCCACTGACCATCATCATTGTAGCTGGAATTCTAAAAAATACAGAGCCAGAAGACTGGATGAAAATTTTGGAAGATTTAAGCTCAGGCGATGAATCTGTTACAAGGCATTGCATGGATTCCTTGGAACTTAGCTACAAATGTCTGCCAGATCACCTAAAGCCATGCCTGCTCTATTTCGGAGCATTTCCAGAAGACGCTCAGATTCCAACGGAGAGGTTGCTTTACCTATGGGTGGCTGAAGGATTTATTAGGAAAGCTGAGGAAGAAGTTGCCGAGGGAAAGAGGGACAAAGATGTTGCTGCGGAAAAGCGTATAATAGATGTTGCCAAAGACTATTTGAATGGTTTGATTGGCAGAAGCTTGATTATGGTCTCCGATAAAAGATTAAACGGTGGAGTGAAAAAATGCCGCATTCATGACTTGCTTCTTGATTATTGCTTGCAGAAATCCAAAGATGATCATTTTCTCCATTTGGTAAAGGGCAATGAGCTTTTGGGATTTAACGAGCCCTGTAACCTTAGGAGGTTAAGCATCCACTCCACTGCAAAGCATTTCAAACAATCCAAGTTGTTTTGTCCTCGGGCCCGCTCCCTGCTTTTCCAAGCACCGCCTAGCAGCTCATATCAGGCATCAGGAGATGCATCATTTGTTATTGGCATCTTTAAACTTCTAAGAGTGTTGGATTTGGAGGGAATTAATTTGTGGTCTGAGTTTCCAAGTGAAATAAGCTTGCTGGTTCAGTTGACATTCCTGGCAATTCAAGGTGATTTCACATCCATCCCATCATGCATAGCTAAGCTTTCAAATTTGGAAACTCTTATTGTGGATCCAATGGAGTCGATTTCATTGCCAGATAGTCTGTGGAATCTACAGAAATTAAAGTATCTTCGCATAAAAGATGAAGGTGGCATTGTGCCGATAGGTAATCTGGACAACTTGCCCATTTTGTATGAGTTGGATGTGTTTTGTGGTGCATGTATTCCTTACGATTGTAGCTTGGAGAGGCTAATGACAAAATTCCCCAACATCCGTAAGTTGAGATGCTGGATTGGCCTCGATGAAGATGACGAATCAGAGTATCCTCACGCTGCGATTGTAGTTCCTGACTTCCTGACTCAACTTGAATCAGCTCAGCTGTCATGGGATGCTGAGAAACCCGAGCTTCCAAAAGGGCTCGAGTTGAGTTTCCCTGAAAATCTTAAAGAATTGAAGTTGCACGGTTTTGAGTTGTCTGGAGAGAATATGTCTACCATCGGTAAACTCCCAAACCTTCAAGTCCTCAAATTATCTGGAACAAAATTGGAAGATGAAACATGGGAAATGAGAGAAGGGGAATTCTCTGAACTTAGAGTTTTGAAATTGGAAGATATGGAGCTTGTCAGGTGGATAGCCGACGATGATCAATTGAAATGTCTTCAGAAGTTGGTATTGGAAGGGTGTACAGATCTGGAAGAGATGCCTTGTAATTGTCTGGAGAACATTCAGGCACTTGAAACAATTGAGGTATTTCAATGTTCTGACGCTATAGAAGAATTGGTGAGACAGATTGAGGAACAACAGAAGGAGGGGTGGGGAAATTTAAGTCTCCAGATCGAAATTATTTAACCAAGAAGACGGGCACTACACCTCGTTAGGTTTGGCACTGTTTATGTACGTTTGACTTGACTCAATGAGTGCTTTACTTATATTTCATAGTTATATCTTATGAGCAGAATAGTTGTAAGCCATATAAGTTTGCTTAAAATTTGATATCCATTCCTTCCTGTTCCAGTATTTTCGGGTGCCATTTTGTTTCAGACTTGAAAAACTCCTCTTTGACTTCATAAACATTGAAATGTATGATTTCTCATCAACATCTCCAACAGAACAGGAGATGAACAAAAAGTAATGAGTCTGGATGCATGTGGGGGGGGGGGAGTATCCGAGATACATAAATACGTACTTGGCTGATAGATTTGGAAGCAATCTGGATGCTTGATTAACCAGAGACTAGCTTGAGTAATACAAGCAAGGAAACCTAATTTGCGGATTGATGTATTTTTAGTATTCAACTTATGGTTTCATCATTATGAATCATCAAATATTTGGATTTTGGACATTACATGCATTACCCAAGTATGACTAACCGTAAAAATTTCATCAAATCACTGCTAGTCTGCAATAAATGAACTTTTTTTGTCGGGTTGAGATATATTTTGGTAAAAACTCTCAAATAATGTTGATATCTTGTTTTTGGAAAACAAGATATGAATGGAAGACAATCTCCTTTCAGGCGATATATGCTTTTATTTGTTGGAAGGTAGGTTTTAATACTAAAAAAAAATCACTGCTAGTCTGCAATAAATGAACTTTTTTTGTCGGGTTGAGATATATTTTGGTAAAAACTCTCAAATAATGTTGATATCTTGTTTTTGGAAAACAAGATATGAATGGAAGACAATCTCCTTTCAGGCGATATATGCTTTTATTTGTTGGAAGGTAGGTTTTAATACTAAAAAAAAATCAGTAACATAGGTCTTTTCTTTAAAACTGTTTTCATAAATCATGTAAGAGATGTAAACAAAGAATGTCTTTGTAGGATTAACCTTAGACAACAGCACATTATGAATCAGACCTCCAAAGATCAAACAACCTATTTCTCATGTAAATTTGCAAGATCTAAGAATACCTATCAACTGCCTAGTACTCTATCTCCGATCTTTATTCTAAGGCATTTTAATTTGTACTGAAATTCATCTACTATTTTTTTCTCAATTGAAAAAAAAAACTTTAAAACTACATTTTCACATTCATTGTTCTCAATTGAAAAAAAAACTTTAAAACTACATTTTCACATTCATTGTATTCTCCTAATTATTAGGAAATATTTTTAAGGTTTTTTTTTTCCAATTGAAAAAATATACTAGATAGAAAATGTCTTATATAATAAAGATAGGAGAGAGTAGGGTTTCTTTTTTTTTAAAAAAAATTCAAAGTAGTGTATTTCTTCTTTGCTTTTTAGTTAAATACAAGTAGTTCTTGAAGGGCACAAAACCAAAACTTCCAAGTGTAGTTTTCTCCGGTCCTTATTATATGGTATTTTAATTTGTCCTAAATTTTATCTAATATGTTCTTTTTTGAAAAAATAAAATTATATTTTGACATTCATTATGTTCTCCTAATTATTAGGAAATATTGTTAGGGTCTGTTTGGTTGCTAGAAATTCTAGGCTGGAAACTAATCTCATCCTTGTTTTTAGATTCTAGTATGTGCTTTGAATAGTAAAGTAATCATTTTTCTAATTATTAAATTATTTTGTTTGTTTATTTTTGAGAAAGGAAAAAGAATCCTAAAATCAAAAAAATAACGTAACATTCCTATATTATGATTACTCACCTTATAGGTGCTATTGTGATTCTCAGCTTTTAAGATTTTAACATTTCTTCACTTTTAATTCTCCATAAAAAATTTTTATCATTATTTTCACATAATTCATATTTTATTTATTTTTTTCTTAATCTAATTTATTTTTTATATATTTTTTAATTTTTTTACAAATTGATTAATGATCTTTTTACATTATTAATTCACAAAATTTTTGATTTGGCACATAAAAACTAAACACTTTATCAAACTAATTTTTTAATGAATAAAAAATAAATTATTAATATTTCATATGAAAGTTTAGATAAATAAGCATATAAAAAATTACAGATTTATAATTTTCTTAATAAAAAATCAAACTTCTTAAATAACTTTGATGTTGACATAGTGATTATAAATAAATTTAACACTCAAAAACTTATCTCGATCATATTAAATAAAATTTGAAGTTAATATACTAACCCACACACACATATACATAGAGTAATGTACTAGTACATAATGTGAATAAGTTGTTGTTCGTGTAGTTAGACTCTGAGCATATCTCTTTGAGATTTTGAATCGAATTTCATAAAGAGTATTTTGGGAGTTTATAGGCTAAAAAGTATTTTTCTTACATTCAAGTATATTTTTCAATATGTAACCAAACAAAAAAAAGTATTTACATTGTTCAGAATCATATTCTCAGTAAATAAACATAAGGTAAAAATATTAATTTTCCTCAGAGTTAAAATTCTAGGAATGTTAACTTTACTTTCTCTAACTTTTCGAGCAACCAAATGTACCCTTAAGGTTTTTTTTTTCAAGTTAAATGACAAACCGTCGTCACACTACTCAAATATTAATTACCTACTTAATACAATTACTAGTAGTAAATTAAAGTAGCAAGCAAGGTCGATCCCACAGAGAAGGATACCAAGTATCAGGTTAAAATTATTTCTTACTATTATTTAGATTAATAATTTATCAATTTTAAACTATTCTAAACCTAAAACTAACAATTGCAATTATTTAAAGATATAAATAAGTAAAAGAAAAACCTAGGGTAAAGGGTTCACCAACCGACTATTCAGTTTAACTCAACTTATAGATATGTGACTTTGGACTTTCATTAATATCACAACGATTCACCTATTTAAGAACTATTGATATAATTATCTTACTCAAACTAACCCTATGACTACTGTCGTGACTGTAGGATTTAATTAGAGTACATTAAGAACCCTAGAATCTATAGCTGCAAAGACGGTTTTCTTACTTTCATGGCCCACTATCTAAGTTTAATATTCCCACGAACTAGTGCTAACCTTCAACCGTCGTTCCTTCATTTAAACACCTTTAAAACATGCAAGTGGTGATCAAATACTCACATGAAATAAAAACAAGAATATTAAATATCAACTAATGAAAAAGTCACAATCATGAATTAAATTAAATTAAATAGTACAACGGCTACATCCAAAACCCTAGATTAAATAATTTAGCCACACATCATCTCAAAAATAAATAAAACAATGAAACACGGGAGAAAGTCAGCCGAAAGTTGAGTCTGAGATTGATGCGTTGCTGCTTGCTTCCTCCGATGATGCGCAGGTGATGAGGATGGATGATGAAAGGGTGGTGTTGCTGTTTGGTGCGTGGAGTTGGTGGAAGGCTGCGTTCGATGATGATGATGATTAATGTGATGATAATGATGGAGGTTGGCGTGAATGGAAGCAAGGTGGTGCGTGGGAGTTTTGGGCGTGGAGTTGGCTTTGAAGTTTGGGGGAGGTGTGTGCTTCGGTGATTTGGGTTTTGGGTGAAGGGTTTTTGTGGCGTGGGGTTGGAGGAAAGGTGGAGGCATGTGTTTTTTTTTCTCCCCCAGAAATAAAACCCTAGTCTTCTTTTTATATGTTTTCCTCAAATCCTTTTTTTTTCGGGAATAAGAAAGTTATTTCTTTTTTTTTCCAGCCAATTTAAATTAAAATTCCTCCAACTCTTCAAGTGGTTCAATTTCTTCCTTGTCAATTAAACAAATCTTCAATTCTCCCTTTGAGTTGCTTTTTCTTTTCAATTTAATCCAAAACCTCAATAATTTTTCCATTTGAGTACAAAACCTACAAATAAAGATAAAATCATATAAATAGCATATTTGTACTCAAAATATATTGCAAAAATCACAAATTAGGGATATAATAAATAGGTAAAATATAAACATATCATTAAAAAATATATTAAATAAAATTTAGGACAAATCAAAATGATTTTGAAGTGTGTTATTATAAAGTCATCCAGTCTGACTTGGACGTGATTATGAAGTGTAAACAGTCATTTGCCTACTGATTTCCTTCTTCTTCTACTTCTACTTCTTTATTTTTCTACTGCATCTGCCTCAAAATGATTGTCTAATTGAGGTTTTCATGTTTAATACAGTTTGTATTATAAGGGAAAATCCAAATTAGACAATTTTTTAAGATGGAAAGTTATTGATTTCCCACAAAATTGTATTGCATGCAATTTCGTAATATACTTTCCTCCCAGTAGAAAAATAATCCACGCAATAACTTGTGCATCATATAATTTTGAGTGTAATTCAGAAAGTGTTATATGATGGTATCTCTTTTTTTTTTTTCTTTTTTTGAAAGAAGAAACAATACTGGATAAAACAAGTTGAGATCCATAAGTTAAGGAAAAAGAGAGAAATACAGCTGTGGAACATACATAAAACAAAAAATAATGCACCCTTATTAAGGTTTTCAATTCGTGAAATAGAAAAAGATTATTTGCCCAGTTGTAGATGTATACTCAAATTACGAGCAATAGTTATTGCTGCCCCAAAGTCAAATGAAGCAGATTATAAAGGAACATATACAATGTATCAGTATTAAATACAATTTCAATCCCCGTGTAATGAACAAAAGCTGATGAAGTTTAAGCAATTTTATGCTTATAAGAATTAACTATGTAACCTTCAAAAGAACACCCAAATAAGACCTCCAATTTGTCTAACAACCTATATTTCTCTCGTATAAAATCGAATGATCTGAATAACCCTCATTCAACAACTCCTCCTTTTCTTTGCTAAATCCAAGTGTTTCTTGAATTGCTGCTGATAGTTGGTCCTTTTATTTGATATGTTCCATTTTCTTACATCATTTCAAGCTCTGTTTTTCTCTTCCTGCTGCCGAGCTTATTCTGGTAATCTGAAAATTTTCATCATCGCACTCCTCCAAATCTCATTCTATCTTCAAATCTTCTTTATTCCATTTGCCATTCGGGGTATTGTTCACATAAAACCACAACAAAAGAATCATGGGTTCCACTGTCATTTTCACCGGAGTTCAGCGGAGGTTTTGGCGGTTCCGATAGGCGGTTGACAGCCGACAGAGAATATTTGGATATCTTTAATAAAGAAAATGATTGTTGATTAATTACAGAGTCTT